TACCCAGGGGTGGTGTACAGTACCCAGGGGTGGTGTACAGTACCCAGGGTGGTGTACAGTACCCGGGGTGGTGTACAGTACCCAGGGGTGGTGTACAGTACCCAGGGTGGTGTACAAAACCCAGGAGTGTACAGTACCCATGGTGATGTACAGTACAGGGGTGGTGTACAGTACTCAGGAGTGATGTACAGTACCCAGGGTGATGTACAGTACCCAGGAGTGATGTACAGTACCCAGGTGGTGTACAGTACCCAGGAGTGGTGTACAGTACCCAGGAGTGGTGTACAGTACCCAGGAATACACTGACGTACGATTTGGTTCTAAAGTCAAGCGAGAGACTAAAGTAAACAGAAGACGGTCGGGTCAAGCGAGGATCTAGTTGGGTCGATAACTTTGTTTAGTGGTAAATAAACAAAGGACTACTGAGTCAAGTGAGATGACGTAGTGTCAAACAAAGAACACATGAGTAAACAGTCAAGCGAGATTCTGTACCAGCGAGGACTGTGTAGAGAGTCAAACGAAAGTCTATATTGATGAGGATAAAGCACAGAGTCAAGCGAGAACCTAAAAGTGAGGCGAGAATCTATATTAATTAAAGATAGATTAACACAGGGAATAGAAAGACCTGACACTATTAGTCTTAGTGTTATTATGTGCTCCACACCTGTTATTACTTCATTACATAAGACTAACGACAGGTAACACGCGAGTGCTTCACCCCTCGTGCACACACACACACACACCAACAGGTACTAGCAGGATCACCAATAACAACAGCAGGTACAGCAGGTTCGCCTTTTATACACACGACAAATACAGCAGGCGGGCGGGAGCAGGGGAGGATGCCTGTGGTCGTCTGGCAGGGGTCAGGTGTCTCTCAGCCTCCACTCTTCATTACTGTCTCAATATCATATTTTATCATTGTTCTCGACGCTCTGTGACCTCCTCCCCCCTCCCTGCCTGCCTTCCCCGTTCCTTCCTTCCCTCCCTGCCTGCCTCATTAAATTACTGCCTCCTTCTTCTTCCCTTTCTCTCTCATGGTCATTATTTGTTTATCTTATCACTCTCTCGTTTACTTTCTAATTCTCCTCTTCCTGTTTACCTGCTAGCCACCCACTGTTTACCTATCTACCGCTGTTTACCTATCTACCTGCTAGCCACCCACTGTTTACCTATCTACCTGTTGGCCGCCCACTGGCCACCTGGGAACCACACACAGCAGGTCTTCTCACCTGCCAGTATTAATTAACGCGGTGATCTGGAAACCTAAGAATCATATCAATAACCGCCAGACGACTTCCTCCTCCTCCTCCCCCTCTTCTTCCTCCTCCTCCCCTCTTCTTCCTCTCCTCCCCCTCTTCTTCCCTCTTCCTCACAGACCTCACCCCTCACCTCCCCTTCCTCCCCACCAAATTTAAAGAGCGAAGGCCACACGAAAGGTAACAAGTCAAGCGAAAGTCTAAAGTAAGGTTAGGTTAGGTTCTTATCTAAGCTGACACACACAAAGAACACGACCAATGTGATACAATTTCTACCTCACATTATACCACAGCAGTTGTACCATAAAGTATAACATGCCTTCATATTATCTCTGTCTGTCTGTCCGCCTAGTGGGTCTGCCCGCCTGTCTGTCTGTTCAGTGGGATAAGTTCACACCATCAGGACGCCACTTGGCCACCTGTCACCATCATGAAACACACACACATGTTGTTACACCTGAGGCCATGCTTATTACTGTGTGTGTGTGTGTGTGGTGTAGTGGGTATAGGTGTAGTGGGTGTGGTGGGTTGGGGTGGTGGGGGGGTGTGGGTGTAGTGGGTGTGGGTGTAGTGGGTGTGGGTGTAGTGGTGTGGTGTGGTGGGTGTGGGTGTGGGGTGTGGGTGTGTGGTGTGGGTGGGGGTGGTGGTGTGTGGTGGTGGTGTGGTGGGTGTGGGTGTGTGGGTGTGGGTGTGGGTGTGGGTGTGGTGGGTGTGGGTGTGGTGGGTGTGGGTGTGGTGGGTGTGGGTGTGGGTGTGGTGGGTGTGGGTGTAGTGGGTGTGGGTGTGGTGGGTGTGGGTGTGGTGGGTGTGGGTGTGGTGGGTGTGGGTGTGAGTGGGTGTGTGGGTGTGAGTGGGTGTGGGTGTAGTGGGTATCAGCTGGCGGTGACACACTATACCACACCTGACAGGTTTGGTGGGATGGTGGACCCGAGATGTTCATAGATACCTGATGCTGTTCCTAGTACACCTGGGGTACACCTTGTACACCCCAGTACACATTGTATAAAATAATACACCTGGAGTACACCTTGTACACTCTTGTACACCTGTGGTATATTTTGTACAGCCCAAAGTGATATTGCTTAAACCATTGTCCTCTACTGTAACATCTCAGCCTCCCCTACCAACACCCCCAGCCTCTACCAACACACACCCCCAGCCTCCCCCTACCAACACACACCCCAGCCTCCCCTACCAACATACACACCCCAGCCTCCCCTACCCATACACCCCAGCCTCCCCTACCAACACACACAGCCTCCACCCTACCAACACACACACCCCAGCCTCCCACCCTACCCTTTTACACACCCCAGCCTCCCCCTACCAACACACACCCCAGCCTCCCCTCCCAACACACACACCCAGCCTCCCCCTACCAACACACCCCAGCCTCCCCTACCAACACACACCCCCAGCCTCCCCTACCAGCACACACACACACACCAGCCTCCCCACCCACCCCCCAGCCTCCACTTACCAACACACCCCCAGCCTCCCCTACCAACACACACACACCAGCCTCCCCCTACTCCCACACACACACCCCAGCCTCCCCCCTCCAACACACACACACCAGCCTCCCCCTACCAACACACCCCACCCCCAGCCTCCCCCCCCTACCAACACACCCCCAGCCTCCCCCTACCTTGCCCCCACACACCCCCAGCCTCCCCTACCAACACACACCCCCAGCCTCCCCTAAACCTAACCCCACAGCCTCCCCTACAAACACACACACACCCCAGCCTCCCCACCAGCACACACACCCCAGCCTCCCCTACCACACACACCCCCCAGCCTCCCCTACCAACACACACACCCAGCCTCCCCTACCAACACACACACCAGCCTCCCCCCCACCACACCCCAGCCTCCCCCTACCAACACACACCCCAGCCTCCCCTACCAGCACACCCCAGCCTCCCCTACCAACACACACCCCCCAGCCTCCCCTGCAACACACACCCCCAGCCTCCCCTACCAACACACACCCCCCAGCCTCCCCCTGCCCCACCCCCCAGCCTCCCCCCACACACCCCCAGCCTCCCCCCCACACACCCCAGCCTCCCCCTACCACACACACCCCAGCCTCCCCTCACAACACACCCCAGCCTCCCCCTCCAACACACCCCCAGCCTCCCCCACCAACACACACCCCAGCCTCCCCCTACCACACCCCAGCCTCCCCCTGCAACACACAGCCTCCCCTACCAACACACCCCCCAGCCTCCCCCCCTACCCCACACACCCCAGCCTCCCCTACCAACACACACCCCAGCCTCCCCCAACCCACACACACCCCAGCCTCCCCTACCAACACACACACCCCAGCCTCCCCCTACCAACACACACACCCCAGCCTCCCCCTACCAACACACACACCAGCCTCCCCTACCAACACACACCCCAGCCTACCCCTACCCTTTCCCCAGCCTCCCCTACCAACACACACACCCCAGCCTCCCCTACCAACACACCCCCAGCCTCCCCCTCTGCACACACCCCCAGCCTCCCCCCTACCAACACACACACCTCAGCCTCCCCCTCACACACCCCAGCCTCCCCCTACCCAACACACCTCAGCCTCCCCCCCAACACACACCCCAGCCTCCCCCTCAGCACCACACCCCAGCCTCCCCTACCAACACCCCCAGCCTCCCCCTACCAACACACACACCTCCAGCCTCCCCTACCAACACACACCCCAGCCTCCCCTACCAACACACACACCTCAGCCTCCCCCTACCAACACACCACCAGCCCCCTACCAGCACACACACCCCAGCCTCCCCAACACACACCCCAGCCTCCCCTACCAGCCTCCCCTACCAACACACACACACCCAGCCTCCCCACCCCAACACACACACCAGCCTCCCCTACCAACACACACCAGCCTCCCCCTACCAACACACCCCCAGCCAACCCCCTACCAACACACACATGCCTCTGTATATGTGTGTGCCTGTGTGTGTGTGTGTGTGAACGAAGGGTGGCGACAAGTGGGTTGAAGAGAAATGGTCGCAACATTATGACTCGAGGGTGAACGTGAAGGGGATCACCGAATGACATTTTCAATACAGCCAGAAAATTGATCCGTAGGTGAGTTACCGTCTGGTGAGGGCCATCAGTGAGTGACTGCACCTCTAGGCGAGTGACGGCACCTCAGAAACATCCCTTATCACCTACATCTGCCCCTCGTAACTGAAATAAGTATATATAATAATTGGTAGTGTCTATATATAGTTGAGTGTCCATCTTATCACCAGGATATATGAGGGAGCTGTATATGGCAACACCCCCCCCCCTGGCATGTTGGCATTTGAGAGAAAAAACTGCAGAGTCGCTGCCCAGATTTTGCCAAGTTGCCAATCTGTTGTCAAAGAGAATACCACAATTATCTATGCTTTTAGTACCTCATTTATGAGTTTTATGAGGCTACTGGAATGACAATGAGCGGTAGGTTACTAACGTTGCGTAATGAGAAACAGCAGATTGTTGGAATGGAGATTTAAAGGGAAATAAAAGAGGATTTTTATCAATAAGTGGCAACGGTGATGCGGCACCTTGGAGGTTCTCTCGGGAGAGGGGATGGGAGCCACGCTGGCCACTGATTGGCTAACCGCAGGGCCGCGCGTCAGGTCACACCGCGGGGACACCCGACGTCCCCATTGGTTTCAAATCCCGACTCCGCCCTCGCTCCGCCCCTTGATCCGCCCAGTTCCAGCAATGGCGGGGGAGAACGTGAGAGTCACCAGTATCCCCCACAACGTTATCTGGTGAGCATCACTATCCCCGTCCCAACTGGGTGTCGTCCGCCAAGTGGTGTGGCCTGAGTGTGTCGTTTACCCGAGTCCTGTGTCGTCTCAGGTCGTGTCGCGTGACTTAGAAACTGCTTTTTAGTGAGTTGAGACGACCAGTATGACTTCCCTGAACGAGCAGATGACGGTGTCGACGACGATGCTGCCCCACTACGAGTCGCCGCTGCCATCACTCTACGAGCCACAGCATCAGCCGCCTAAGCCAAGACTTATGTTCAAGATGCCTCGAGTGGTGCCTGACCAGAAGGCCAAGTTTGACGCTGATGAACTGTTCCGCCGCTTGGCCAGGGAGACAGAGGTGAGTCTACCAGAGTACAGTGAGTCTACCAGAGTATACTGAGGTACAGGGGTATACTGAGGTACCAGGGTATACTGAGGTACCAGGGTATACTGTCTACCAGGGTATACTGAGGTACCAGGGTATACTGGGTCTACCAGGGTATACTGAGGTGCCAGGGTATACTGAGGTGGGGTATACTGTCTAGGGTATACTGAGGTACCAGGGTATACTGGTACCAGGGTATACTGTCTACCAGGGTATGCTGAGTGCCAGGGTATACTGTCTACCAGAGTATACTGAGGGTACCAGGGTTTACTGTCTACAGAGTACAATGAGTCTACCAGGTATACAGAGTACCAGGGTATACTGTCTACCAGGGTATACTGAGGTGTCTGCAGGGTATACTGAGTCTACCAGAGTATACTGAGGTACCAGGGTATACTGTCTACCAGGTACAGTGGAGTCAACCAGAGTATACTGAGGTACCAGGGTATACTGTCTACCAGAGTATACTGAGGTACCAGGGTATACTGTCTACAGAGTACAGTGAGTCTACCAGAGTATACTGAGGTGCAGGGTATACTGTCTACCAGGGTACAGTGAGTCTACCAGAGTATACTGAGGTGCCAGGTATCTGTCTACCAGAGTACAGTGAGGTCTACCAGGTATACTGAGGTACCAGGGTATACTAGGTCTGGGGTATACTGTCTGCAGGGTATACTGAGTGTCTACCAGGGTATACTGAGTCTACCAGAGTATACTGAGGTACCAGGGTATACTGTCTACCAGGGTATACTGAGGTGCCAGGGTATACCAGAGTCTACCAGGGTATACTGGGTCTACCAGAGTACAGTGAGGTCTACCAGAGTATACTGGTGCCAGGGTATACTGAGTTCCAGGGTATACTGTCTACAGGGTATACTGAGTCTACCAGAGTACAGTGAGTCTACCAGAGTATACTGAGGTACCGGTATACTGTCTACCAGGGTATACTGAGGTACCAGGGGTATACTGAGTACCAGGGTATACTGGGTCTACCAGGTATGCTGAGGTACCAGGGTATACTGTCTGGGGTATACCGAGTGTCTGCAAGGTTATACTGAGTGTCTACCAGGGTATACTGAGTGTTTACCAGGGTATACTGAGTGTCTACCAGGGTATACTGAGTGTCTACCAGGGTATACTGAGTGTCTACCAGTATACTGAGTGTCTACCAGAGTATACTGAGTCTACCAGGGTATACTGAGGTACCAGGGTATACTGGTGTCTACCAGGGTATACTGAGTGTCTACCAGGGTATACCGAGTCTACCAGGGTATACCAGTGTCTACCAGGGTATACTGAGTCTACCAGGGTATACCGAGTGTCTACCAGGGTATACTGAGTCTACCAGGGTATACTGAGTGTCTACCAGGGTATACTGAGTCTACCAGGGTATACCGGGTCTACCAGGGTATACTGAGTCTACAGGGTATACCGGGTCTGCCAGGGTATACCGGGTCTACCAGGGCATGCGAGTCTCCAGGGTATACTGAGTCTACCAGGGTATACTGAGTCTACCAGGGTATACTGAGTCTACCAGGGTATACTGAGTCTACCAGGGTATACCGAGTCTACCAGGGTATACTGGAGTCTACCAGGGTATACTGAGTCTACCAGGGTATACTGGGTCTACCAGGGTATACTGAGTCTACCAGGGTATACTGAGTCTACCAGAGTATACCGAGTCTACCAGGGTACAGGTCTACCAGGGTATACCAGGTCTACCAGGGTATACTGAGTCACCAGGGATGCACTGAGTCTACCAGGGTATACTGAGTCTACCAGGGTATACTGGAGTCTACCAGGGTATACTGAGTCTACCAGGGTATCACTGAGTCTACCAGGGTATACTAGGTCTGCAGAGTATACTGTGCGTCATTCAACACAAGTCGACTCTACTAAGCTCAATACCTCTACAAATCTGTTTACTCTCTCTCTCTCTCTCTCTCTCTCTCTCTCTCTCTCATGGTAACCTCTCTGAACAGGTGAGAGAGAGTGACTGTCTTAAACCTATCTATCTGTCTGTCTTCTGTCTGTTCTCCCCTAATCTAATTTTATATAACCTAATCTAATCTGACCTAACCTAATCTAACCTGACCTGACCTAACCTAACCTAACCCAACCAACTCAAATTAAAAAAAATATATATATATATATATAAAATCGTCCCAAATGGCATCAAAATTACAAATACTCGATCTCCATTAGATACGTTCACTTGAGCACGAGTTACGAGTGAACGTATGGGGGTCTTGTGTGAACGTTCAGACCAGAGTTACGTTCACTGTCGTTCACTAAGACTCTACTGTAATCTCTATCACCTGAACTAATTTATAAGTGAATTTTATATATTCATCGTTTATCTTATTGTTTGCTGATCAGGTACAGACAGACAGACAGACAGACAGACACACACAGACAGACAGACAGACAGACAGACAGACAGACACACACATACACATACAGACATATAACGTACAGACAGACAGACACACACACAAGCGTTGACTAAAATCCCACAAGCAAACTCCTTCCGACTTTAAATACAGATTTTGTTAATAACCACAAAGTCGACAAAAAACTCAACAAAAACAGCCATGGCAACTTAACCACAAGAGTTGCCATGTTATTATTTATTCCATTTATTTTTTGGTAAGAAATTCCCGGTTTTTTTTGTCTTAAGTAATTGTCGTTTTGGGGGTTAAATTGGGCAATACGGTAGTTTGGTTGTAGAGAGTGTTAGGTGAGGGATTATTGGTTTATTGTTATTATTATTGTTTTATACATTAAGAAGTAATTCATCACTGTTTATTTAGTTTCAATGGACAGATAGACAGACAGACAGACAGAGAGACAGACAGACAGACAGACTCTTCATTCAGTATCAAATTAATAACTAAGTGGCTGAAAACTAATAAATAACAGCAAATAAATAACGAATAAATAACGACTGAAGATAAAAATAACCTATCATTACATCGTCATACCAGTCAGGCTAAACCATCCTGCAACACTAGAAAAACACGGTCTTGCAACACTAGAAATACACGGTCTTGCAACACTCTTCACATATCAACATTGCAAGGAGCATTTTTACCTTTATATTTGTGTCTTTTTTTTAACGAGTATATCAGTAATTATCGCTATTGTACGAAGGCTTAACGAGGGCGAGAGATAGCGGGAAGACCTTGCAACAGAACGGGAAGACTTTGCAATATTTCAGTAATAATTAAAATAAAATAAATATAATAATAATGGCTATACAATCTCTCTATTATTATTATTATTATTTTATTTTACCTTAATGGATGCATGTGTACAGTGTATGTATGTATGTATGTGTGTGTGTGTGTGTGTGGAAGAGTCAGTTTAGTATCAAATTAATTCATTATAACGAGGTTAGTTTTGGTTATACAATCTTCGCTATAACCGGAAGTAGTGGTCAGTGATTAGACGTAATTGGAAAGTAGTGATAGTGACGAAAATTACTTGTAAAGTGAAGGAAAGTACCTGTAATAATATAAACGTGAGAAAGTACCAGTAGATGTAAGGAATTACAAATAATTTTCGAGACGTGAAAGAAAGTGACGGTATGTGTCGGGAAGTGTCGGGATACTTACGATACTACTTGTAATAAGGAAACAGTGTTATAAAATGGCAGGGAAAGTACCCCAAATATTATATAAATCATCATCAAGTCGTAAAGAAAGTAGAACAAAAGTCGGGTACTGATGGAAAGTACACATAGGGATCTATCATTAGCGGACACTTTCCACTAGCACTTATAAGGAGTCTCTTATTAACGGACACCTTCCACTACCACATAAAAGGAACCTCTTATTAGCGGAAAACTTCCACTAGCCAATACATCACTGTCCGCTAATGTGGGGAACTATCAGAGGTAAAATCCGTTAATGAGAGGAGTTTCCCCGCAGACGGTCAGGTGAGCAATGATCCGCCCACACAACCTTGTACCTGTTCTGACCAAGAGAGAGAGAGATAGAGAGAGAGAGAGAGAGAGAGTGTGTGTACTTAAAATATAAATTAAATGATCTTATCGCCTATAATTTATTTCATAACTCCGAAGCTCAATATCTGGCGCTTAATAACTTATAGTGAGGCTCAGTAGAGAAGAAATAATACTGGATTTATTAGCTCATCTTGTTCATGTCCATCACGGCTGTTTACACTGTATAGTATGTATGAATTTACTGCATCATTATTCATTATTTTTTTTTTCAATTTACATTATTCGATTATTTTTCTCTATGACTCCAATAATCACACACACACACACACGTTCATTGGTCCATTACTTTCATTACGTCATCAAGTGTTAATATATGACGTCATAAGGACCACCTGTGCTTAGGGTGTGTCAGAGAGAGAGAGAGAGAGAGAGAGAGAGAGAGAGAGAGAGAGAGAGAGAGAGAGAGACCTTGAGGTAGACAGGTATAGGTAAAGTTCCCAGGGTGTGAAGGTGGTAGGGCACATTAGCAATTACACACCTGTCACACACACACACACCTGTCACACACACACATCCATCTTATTCCCCTGTATGCGTTGAAGGAAGGAAGGAAGGAAGGAAGGAACAGTAAGAAACGAGAGTGGTAAGGACTAGGGGGACGGAGAGAAGGAATGAAGGGAGGGAAGGAGACGGAAAGAAGGGAGGGCTGAGTAGATATGGAAGGGAGAGGAAGAGAAGGATGAAAGGGAGAGGAAGATATGGAAGGGAGGAGGTGGTAAGAGAGAGGAAGATATGGAAGGAAAGGGTGGAACGGAGAGGAAGAGAAGGGGGGGGGAAGGAGGGCTGGGAAGGTTCAGACACGCCGGAAGAGGTGAATGTAGACTCGACAAATGGTGTTTGTACGTGAGTGTGGCTGTGAACCTCTTTCCTCCTCCCTCGTAATCCTCAATCTTCTCATTTGTCTTCTTTCTTCCATCATCTTCCATCTTCGTCTTCCTTCTCTAGAGGTTTCGATCCCATTATATGGAGGTTTCAATCCCCTTATAAAAGAGGTTTCAATCTCATAAAAAAAAATGTTTCGATCCTCTTAAATACAGGTTTCAATCCCAATAATAGAGGTTTCGATCCCATAAAAAAAATGTTTCGATCCTCTTAAATACAGGTTTCGATCCCATTAATTGTCAATAACTCCAACGCTGCTCTGATCGCCTTTTTACCGCCAAATTTATAATCTCTTAATTGTCTCCTGGTTACCCCGGCACTTATAAAAGTATATATATTTATATATATCCTCTTGCACGAGTGATATACAAATTATACTCATTATACGATATAAATCCGTCGTCTAACTGTATATTATATTAATTATCAGAGATGAATCAAACTTCCTGTCACTCTCAGCGTTTATGGAGACTCCGGCGGCGTTCAGACCTACAAATCAAACCGAAAATAAAATTATTGGAACCTTCAATTATAGGCTGCCGATGGTACAGCTTTATGGCGGGTGATCATACCGTCTCACCTGTCTAACGTAATGTAGGGGGTCAGGTGTATAATATATAACACGGCTCTATAGTATTATATGAAACAGAGGGTAGGTAGGTAGGTAGTTAGACGCCAACACGTAATATACTAGATAATGATGGATGACGTGACGACAGCTTAAAAAGAGGAACTACGCTATTAACTAATTTATCTCGTATTTCTGGTCTTCTCTTATACATTCAAGGGTATTATTATATATCTTAGCACGCCAGAAGTCAATAATATCCAACGTTATAGCTATAATTTCTGGGTTTCAATAAAGTTTTTAAAAAGATTCAAAATATTAACCGGATTCGAAGACATGCAAGATGCTTCCCTCCCTCACGCTACACACATTGACACCCGCCTCGAGATTTTCCTTCTACATCCATATCATTCTAAAAAATATAATAATAATAAATGCAGAGCTAGAGATAGTTATTAACTCTAATGGCAGGCACTATTTTTACCGGTTTGTTAAAAGTTAATTGTGAGTTATGTGAGGTGTACTGTAATCCACCTCAATTTGCAGTGCTTCCGTTTCCCGTTTTTTCCCTCCCCGTTGTGTTTTACTGTTGGTTTTGCATGTTTTTTGGTGTTGACTTTTAACGCCATTATTCTGTTAACACCTTGTACTTAACACTTCACTCCCACTGGGTTTTTTGTTTACTTTTTTTTTTCTGTTATTAAACGAGTTGGTTTTTGCGCCGTTTATAAGTCATGTTTTACGTCAGTTGGTTTTATGCACAGTCATTATTGTTTACCGACGATGACGTAACGATACTTTTACCTGTCACATTATTGTTACTTTTTTGGGGTTAATATATTTTTTTTTACTTTGTGTGATAATTTTAATACTTTTCTGTTTTTTTTACTGATAATTTTAATATAGTTTTTTTATAATTGTATTTTATTATTTGTGAAGTTTTTAAATAACTAAAGAAAAACTCGACTTGTTAGTAAGTTCACTTTTAAACCAGACTAAAAATACCAGTAAATTTTATGATGAATAAAAGTGGGATGAATTATTGTGTAATTTTAAAAAACTCATGAATTTAAAACGATTGTTAATAGAATTTTCTTTTACGTGTTAAAATTTTCATGAATTTCAGACTATTATAAGGGGTGTGTGTGTGTGTGTAACAGGTGAACCCTCCCACAAGTATTATAAACAGGTGTAATCTCCCACAGGTGCGCTACACGGGGTACAGAGACCGGCCACTGGAAGAGAGAAGACAGAGGTTTCAGGCAGGTGTAAGAGAAGGACACACGGAGATGGTGAGTTACCTCTTTACCGTCTAGTAATGTAGCCAATCATCTGTCACGTCTGTTTCACCTCAGCCAATCATCTGTCACGTCTGTTTCACCTCAGCCAATCAGCTGTTTCACCTCAACCAATCATAACCCTAGTTGAGGTAGTGACGTAATCGGACACCATGAAGGTAATTGGTTGCCTCTAATCACCCCAGCTGTCAAATTTGACGACCGTGAAAGGTGGTTAAGGTAACGGGTAATTAAATCAAGACAGATAAAGCTGGGAACTAAGCTGGCAGCCCCCCCCCCCCAGCAAGCTGTAATTTGGCGGGAAAGGACAGCCACCTACGCTAGCCAGACATCAGCTTGCCACACATCAATTAACTCACAAACTTAACAAACAACAACAAACAATCTAAACGACACAATTGACGAAGATAATCACCTTGTTATCTTCAGAAGGTATAAAGTGGGTGTAGAGGGTGTAATTGATCTGTTAAGTGGTTGTTAATGATGTAAGTGTTAGGAGATGTGGCAGCAGTGTAGCGGGTGTGTTTACCTGAGGAAGACAACAGTCCGAGCCTTCATTACCAGAGTACCTGTGTTGGCAGCTGTCATCCTCCTCCTCCTCCTTCTGCCTCACCCCATCATTACTCCTCCTTGGGAAGCAGATGACCGGATTCTCCTCCTTTCCCTTTTACTTCTTGTCCTTCCCCTACCACCTCTCCTCTTCCTTCTCTTATTATTCTTCTTCTTCCTTCATCCATCACTATTCTTCGTCTTCTTCCACTCCTCCTCCTCCGTGTGAAGCGGAAGACCGGATCCTCCTCCTCCTCCTCCTCCTCCTCTTCCTCTGTGTAAAGCGGAAGACTGATCCCCCACCACTTACACTTGACGAATGGTGTCAGAACTTACGGAGAATTTCCCCAGATATTTTTTTTCTTCAAACCGAACACCGAGACGAAACTTTAAAAAAAAACACGAAAATATATAGAAAACGGAGGGAGGGAAGTGAGAAAGAAAATGGGTTGTGGGTGGGTGGTTACATTAAGATATCGTAAAATACAGACTTAATAGAAGACCTGTAACTTCCTGTTCTCTGACCCGTATATACCTGTACCTAAGGCTCCCTCCTCTCTCACACATGATATACACATTAATACACATAATTAGTGATATTATTTCGGATATATTAACACGCGCCTACACATACATAACAATCGGTGGCCCTGGTGTAGGAGGATGGCCGGTCCAAGGGCCACCTAGGCGTGAATTTGTTTAAGGTGTAGAAGCTGTCGCCAACACAACAACCACACCCTGAGTTAACGAGCTGCATGACCCAGTGTCAAGGAATAGTCCGAGAAGACCGGACAACTCGCCAACTGCACTGGTTAACCATTACCCCGGAACACGATCCACAAATGGCATAGCGAAACTTGCCCATAGTTTCACTCTGCCCGGGGATCGAGCCCGGGTCCGCTGGCTTGCGAGGCGATCATGCTGACCATTACACCACAGGTCGCCATACGTGTGTACACACACACACACACACACACACACACACACACGCCAGGTTCAGACAGACAGACAGACAAACACACGTCAGCCTACACGGGTCATAATAACCAATCAGGAGTTATTTCCGGTTCAATAAATCAATTTTCTGATCCAATATGGCGGCTAGATTGCGTTTGTTTGTTTGTTTGTATCAAGGAAATTAGGGATATTTGTATCACCTGAAGATTAGCCCTGGGGTTAGGTTAGGGTAGCATCAAGTTAAAATAAGTTGGTATTAGGTTAGGTTAGGTTGTTATATTAACATTAGGGTGGTTAATCTAAAGGTGAAATAACCTGGAGAGTTAAAGTATCCAAAGTTCCAATTAAGTTATGGTAAACAAACTCAAATATTAACCTTAACCTCCTAGATATTAACATTAACCTTATATATTAACATTAATCTTCAGTAAACCATTAACCACCTCCATCATCATTACCGTCTACCTGTTATTACGTCATCGTCATCATCATCATCATCACCCCCATTTTTATCATTATCGTTATTATTATCGACTTCACCTGTCCGATACTACTACTACTACTACTACCAGACAACCACTACTATCAATAGGAGCGTAAGATACTCCCCAAGTATAATGACAATTTCTACCATAACTACTACCACCATTCGACAACCACTATTATCATCAGATTCTTAACAAATTACAAACACCACTACCACCACCATCAGACAACCATTATTATATAGTATAAATTCCTCAACTACTACTACCACAATCACGTACTACAACTACTACCACAATCACGTACTACAACAACTACCACCATCATATAACCACTATCATTAACAAAAACGTAATACTCCCACAAACTACTACCACTACTATTACCACTACTACCATCACCACCATTCTACCACAATTACCTCCACCACACAACTACCACCCACCATTCCACTACCACACGATCTCACATCACCACCACAACTACCACCACTATAACATCACCACCACAACTACCACCACCACAACTACCACCACTCACACAGTTACCAGCTAAGAGTGTTACCTCATCCTCAACTTCCTTAAGTGTTGCCAGATAAAAGTAAAAAACCTGTAAGATGGCAACCACACCTGCTCCTCCGAAGGATTTGATTGACGACGTGAAATTGTGGGTTGGATCGACACTTGCAAGAGTACGTGGTAGTGGTGGGGTAGGAGTGTGGTAGTAGTAGTGTGGTGGTGGTGTGCTGGTAGTGGTGGTGGTGTAGTGTGGCAATATGGTGTGGTAGTGTGGTAGTAGTGTGGTGGTAGTGTGGTAGTAGTGGTGTAGTGTGGCAATGTGGTGTGGTAGTAGTGTGGTGGTGGTGTGGTTTGTGGTGGTGGTGTGGTTTGTGGTGGTGGTGTGGTTGTAGTGGTGGTGGTGTAGTGTGGCAATATGGTGTGTAGTAGTGTGGCAATGTGTGTGGGTAGGTGTGTGTGGTGGTGGTGTGGGTTGTAGTGGTGGTGTAGTGTGGCAATGTGGTGTGTATTGTGTAGTGTGTGGTAGTGTGGTAGTGGTGGTGTACTGTGGCAATGTGGTGTGGTAGTAGGTGTGGCAATGTGGTGTGGTAGTAGTGTGTGGTGGTGGTGGTGTGTGGGTTGTAGTGGTGTAGTGGCAATATGGTGGTAGTGTAGGTGGTATGGTAACGTGGTAGTGTGTTAGTATGGAAATGCAGTGGTGGTGTGGTAGTGGTGATTGTGGTGTGGTGTGGTAGTGGTGATTGTGGTGTGGTGTGGTGGTACGGTGGTGTTAACAGCGTGGAGTGACTTGCCCATTTACTAAATACAGTGTGTGTACATACAAGCACTAGTTGATGAACGTGGAACACACACACACACACACACACACACAGGAAATATCTTCTTAGCACAAATTCTATAGCGGAAAATGCAGTGCCTTAACCTAACCTAACCTTAACCACAACCTATCCTAACCAAACCTAACCAAATCCAACCCAACCTAACCTAACCTAACCTACTGTAGTGTACTGGGAGAGGACGAGAGAGAGAGAGAGAGAGAGAGAGAGAGAGAGAGAGAGAGAGAGAATAAACCATCTCTTTATCTCTCTCTCTTATCTCTCTCTATCTCTTCCTCCCGCTATTGTTGTATATCTTGTGTTATTGAGGTGTGTATTAACAGTTAAGAGCCAGTTAATACACACTCATGCAAATGGTCCTAATCATCATATATGGCATGACTTCAGACGAGACGAGTCATGTATATATGAATATTAATATACATGTCCTTATTTACCTATACACATAATATACAAATACACCACAATACTTAAAGATATCTACCAACTACTACTACTACTGGTATATATACAAACAAACAAACATACATACATACATACATACATTATGGCAGACTTCCTCCCTCCTTCACCCTTCCTCCGATCTTTACCCACCGCACCAGCCTGCCTTAGTGTGAGGGCAGGACACACTAACAATCATCCCTCCCCTAATACCTACCCACTTGTGACCGTGATAAATAGATTCACTCCCTAACAAGTATACCTCCCTACTCCCCCCCTCTCCTCCCTGACCTCCCTACACCCTCCCTACCCTCAATCTCAACCCTTACGTCTATTTTATTTATTTTTTACAACTTCTACCTTTTTTTTTTAACTAATAATTTAGAGGTAATTTTGCAACAATTTCTGTCGAGTTGGATTATTGTTATGACGCGTTACCTTGGCTTTTGAGAAGTGAAGAGTGGCGGTTAGTGACATCTGGCAACTGTTAAGGTTCTGACGTCACGGTGTTCCTCATGTTTATCGTCCACTTCAGTTTAGATTTTGTGATTATTGCATTAATTTTTTTACTTATTTTTTTATTTCCATTATTTATCACACGTATCTAAGCTGTGTTTATTTACCTATTGTTTTGTTTATATGTAATTAGCTTGTTATTTCTACTAAAATCATCAATTTCTTCTTTAAAAAAATGGTATAGGAACAAAAAGTAATCCCGGTCGTTTAGCTATAACGAACGACCTCTTTGGGAGTTTTAGCAAGTGTGTTAACTACCAGAGTGGTAGTTTGGTCCTGTTAACGACATTTAGAGGTGATTTAAGTTTGTGTTAACGATGGTTGTAATTGGCTTTTTCTTTTTCTTTTTATTTATTTTTTACCGTCTTGGAGATTTGTGTATGTGTTAGTGTGGTTATGCGACCGATTCAGGGGGTTAAGTCATCGTACTCAAGGGGTGGAGTCATCGTACTCAAGGGTTAAGTCATCGTAGCCACAGTTTCAGAGTATGAGGGTAAGGTGACTTGGTTAAGTGAATGTTGGTGTCAGTTTTTGGGTGTGGTGCAGCCTGGTGGAGAAGTGAGGGGGGGTTGGTGGAGCGGTGAGGGGGTTGGAGGAGGTGAGGGGGGTGGGTGGAGAGGTGAAGGGGTGGTGGAGGGGTATGGGGGCTGGTGGAGGGGTGAGGGGGGGTTGGTGGGAGGTGAGGGGGGCAGGAGGGGTGAGGGGGGAGGGTGGGAGAGGTGAGGGGGTGGAGGAGAGTGAGGGGGGTGGGGGTGGGAGGGGAGGAGGGGGCAGGGAGGGGTGAGGGGGTGTGGTGGAGAGGGGAGGGAGGGGTGGTGGAGGGGTGAGGGGGTCAGGAGGTGGTGGGGGGTGGAGGGGGTGAGGGGGGGCTGGGGGAGGTGGGGGTTGGTGGAGGGGGGTGAGGGGGGGTTGGTGGAGAGGTGAGGGGGGTTGGTGGAGGGAGGGTGAGGGGGCGGAGGGGTGGAGGGGGTGAGGAGGTTGGTGGAGGGGTGAGGGAGGTTGGTTGACTAGCAAAAGATAGGTGGTGTGGTGGTGGTGGTAGTAGGTAGGTAAGATGGTTGCTGGTGGTAATGGTTGAGTGAGGGGAGGGTGGTAGTAGTGGTTAGGAGGATATAGATAGGAGGCTTGGTGGTCTAGAGTGTTAGTGGGGATGGTGGTTGATGTGGTGTAGGTGGGGAGGGGGTAGTAATGTAAGTAGAAAGACCAGTTTGGGTGGTGTTGTGGTAGTTCAGGGGAGGGGGTTGTGATGGCGGCTGTGTGTGTGTGAGGGACGGGTTTGTGGATTGGCAGCGACCGCCATCTTATAGAGGAGGAGGGAGGGAGGGAGAGCGGCCCTCCAGTGTGATAATGTTACTAGGGCTTAGTGCCTCTCTTCTCTCTCTCTCTCTCTCACTATTCTTTTTTTCCACTACCATCGAGAGAGAGAGAGAGAGAGAGAGGCAATAACTAGATCTAAACAGACACTTAGTGATGATTAAACGATTAATAATTATCTGATGACCGTTGCAGTATATGTATGTATGTATGTATGTATGTATGTATGTATGTATGTAAAGCCAAACCAGATAAAATTTAAAAAAAAAATTTTTATCCTCAGACAAAATAAAAAAAACACGAAAATCTTACACACACACACACCAGAATCCCGTTAAGGAGACAGCGTGTTCTTATCACATTATATTTCACTATGATTAAATATTTTACCCCACAATTAATTATAGTTGAGAGGTTAATTAGCACTGTAAATAATAATAAGAATAAAGCAGATTTCATTAGGTAACACAGGTTGAAATAATTAGATAAATTAAGGTTTAATTGTCAAGATGCTGGTTTAACTCAATACACCATGGGGGCTTAATTAAATAAAGCAGGTGTAATTAAGTGTGAAAGGCGTGTTTAAATAATTGTAAAAGGTGAACGTTTTAATTTGAGTGTGTGTGTGTGTGTGTGTGTGTGTGTGTAAGATAGCGGTACACACACACACACACACACACACACACACACACACACACACAGAGTAACAAAATCAATAACAATAAAAAACAATAATAATAATACTAAAAACAATAAAAACAGCGACAAAAACAAGAACAAAAACACTACGGCCCTAATAACGACAAAGACAACAAAAACAGGAGAGAAAAAAGTTGGTTAGAAGGAAAAAATAAATGTGAGAGACAGGAAGGAGAGAGTTTGGAGTGATGGACGGACAGACAGACAGAGACAGACAGAAAGATATGATGAGCAGGAGAGTGGAAGAATAAACAAGACATAAGTGACGAAGGGAGTGGGAGGGAAGGAGGAGAGAGAGAGAGAGAGAGAGAGAGAGAGAGAGAGGTGTGAGCCGGACGCCAGGAACTCACACATTATCATACTTACCCCCGCCACACACACACACACACACACACACACACCCCGCCTTTAAATCACCTCACTATAAAGCTGACTTTCTTACTCTGTTGCTTGATGCTGTTATTGACTTTTTTGTTCAATGCCGTTTCGTGAACCTAACCAACCAAAGAAACCCACCTAACTTAACCAATCCTCTTAAGGTTTTGTATCTCTCTGGGTAAAAAAATTTATAATTTCATTCACACATCACAGTCTCGACCTTCCCCTCACCCCAACCATTAATGTCTCTTATTATTTCCCTCATCCCTAATTATATGAACAAAATATCTAATTTTGATTTTTTCTGGACATTTTTTTTGTATTTTTCTTGATTTTTTTTCTTCATCTTAACGTTACTCTAATCTCACCTGACAGTAATCTAACCTAACCTTATCTAATCTAACCTTATCTAACCTAACCTAATCTAATCTAATCTAATCTGACAGTAACCTAACCTAATCTAACCTAACGCCAACTTGACACTAATCTAATCTAGCACCCCAAGGTATAGAGACATGGGGAGGGGGGAGGGTGGGGGGTGGTTGTTTAATACTAAGGTAATCCATTTCTACAAGAATAGGTGATGGTCTGTGTGTGTCAGGTGTGTGTGTGTGTGTGTGTGTGTGTGTGTGTCAGGTGTGTGTGTGTGTCAGGTGTGTGTGTGTGTCAGGTGTGTGTGTGTGTGTCAGGTGTGTGTCCCGAGTCGCCTATCAGCTGGTCCAAGTAACTCGCAGATGACGGGCTTTAAGGTGTAAACTTCTCTAAACTACTGACAGGTGTGACGGACTGAATGTGAGAGCCAATAATTACTTCCTTCTTCTCTCTCTCTCACTCTCTTCTCTTCTCTCTACTCAGCCATGTCTTGCCCTCTAACGTCAACCATCTCCTCCTCTTCTCTCTCTAACGTCAACCATCTTCTCCTCCCAACGTCAACCATCTCTAACGTCAACCAATCTCCTCCTCTCTAACGTCAACCATCTCTCTCTCTCTCTCTCTCTCTAACCTCAACCATCTCTCCCTCCCTCTCTCTACTCTCAGCCTTGTCCCCCCGCCAGTATAACAGGACTCAACAGCTACGCGTATAACAGAATGCAGATGGTGTCGTGTTGCCGTAGTTAAGAAACAACATATTGGTTCCGCTTGTTGTTTACGTGGAGTTACCAGGTGTACGATGACTCTCTCTCTCTCTCTCTCTCTCATATGACTTCCGTGTTATTGTATGAGTCACTAATTTTATTTTTATTATTATTACATAATTTGTGACTTAAAACTAATAAAAGATGGTATTTTCACATATTTACTCGCGCGTGTGTGTGTGTGTGTGAGGAGAGAGCCAGGTGGCACTCACATGCTAATTATCGTACATCTGGGGACAGGTATGGAAGATATAGTAGAAGGGGAAACTATCGTACATTACCATAATGACCGGAAGTGTTTCTGGGTGTGTGTACATCTCCCCCCCCACACACACACAGACACACACACACACACACACACACACGATTGGTCTGTCTCTGTCACCCTAAAACTGGACCAAATACCCCCCAACCGGACAAAACTCCATTACGTTTTCTAACAGATTGTGGTCTCTCTCTCCAACAGGCTTTCATGACCAACGGCACCAACGTGAATCTCCAACTCTCCACCACAGGCTTCTCCAACAACCATAAGGAGGTAGACTTTGACAAGGAACCCGGCAAGGTACGTTCTCCACCTCTCTCTCTCTCTCTCTCTCTCTCTCTCCCCACCTTCTCTTACTCACTCTAACTCTCACTAACGCACTCTCTCCCCCCCCCATTCTCTCACTCATTCCCTCACTTTCTCTCACTGGTCAACATTCAACAGGCCAGAATTTAATCAGTCCCCAAACTCTCTTAAATTAGGTTAGGTTAGGTTAAGTTTGGTTAATACACGAGGACTCGTTAACCTGACCGCTGTATTATGAACAAAAGACAAAAAAATCACGGCCTGAAACAACCACTCGCGGGATAAGGATACACCTAACGAGCCAATCACGTGTCAGGTTACATATCGTACACCAATCAGAAAGTTGTTTACGTGTATATAACCACATACAGACTCGTTTATACGTGAAGGGCCAATCAGAGACTCGCTTACATGTGAAGGGCCAATCACAGACTCGCTTACATGTGAAGGGCCAATCACAGACTCGCTTACATGTGAAGGGCCAATCACAGATTCGTTTACATGTGAAGGGCCAATCACAGACTCGCTTACATGTGAAGGGCCAATCACAGACTCGCTTACAGGTCGAGGGCCAATCACATACTCGCTTACATGTGACAGGCCAGTCAGAGACTCGCTTACATTTGGCTTAGGTCCTCGGGGTATGTTGTCTGGACCAGGTGGGCTAATCAGGGAGATGGTCATGTTTATATGCCAATCCTACACTCGGGGTTTCCCATGCTGGTCCACCAATCACAGGCCGCCACACGAGAGAGAGAGAGAGACTAATACATCTGGACAACCAATAAGAGACAAGGAAAACATCTGGCGCACCAATCACACAGGCGGATACATCTGGCGTCCGACTAATAGAACGAAATACCAACACCACAACATGACCAGTGGAACGGGACAGCCAAGAAACCTCTGAAACGGGACGGCTTAGGACGAAAAAAAAAATTAAACGAGTCCGTGAAGATTTAATAATTCGACTTAACCGGACACGGATAATAAAACTTCAATTAACCGGATTTATTAGTGAGGGAGAGTTATTGATGAGGTTCTTTAAAACAACTTTCTTCAATAAACGATTACCTCAGGTCATTAATAAAAGGATACAATGACTGCCCGGTTATTACTAGTAAATATGTTTTTAAAATGGGTTGTAGGAGGGTGTTCATATTATCCGGGTTTAGGGGAGGTGTTCATATTATCCGGGTTTAGGGAAGGTGTTCATATTATCCGGGTTTAGGGGAGGTGTTCAAATTATCCGGGTTAAGGGAAGGTGTTCATATTATCCGGGTTTAGGGAAGGTGTTCATATTATCCGGGTTAAGGGAGGGTGTTCATATTATCCGAGTTGTGTGGGAGTGGTGGTCACATTATCGGGGTTGCGTGGTAAGGTAATTAACGTTTAGTTTACCTGTTTGGGTGTGGCGGACGGTGAGGCTAACGACCTGACAAGAGTAGTTGGGCACCTAACAACCAATTGGACCTCCAGAACTACCCAAAGGTCGTTTATCTGTCTGTCTGAGCCAGCTAGACCATCAGTACTACCTAACAACACCTCGTCACTAGCCTTAACTACCTGGGGATGGGTTACAGTTGAATCACCAGCACATAACTACCCTCATGTAGGCCCAAGGGGTAGCTAAGATAGTTAGGCCAGTCTACGAGTTGAATCACCAAGACCTAACCACTCACAAACTACCCTGACACCATCCAACTACCCTCCCTCACCTCACGCAGGGACCCCAGGGCTATAACCACGCCCACGGGAAATTGAAACAGACAAACAGAAAATTTATCAAAAAAAAACAACAACAATCATCTTGGTACCGCCCGCAATATTTGTCGGTATGCGGTATCGCTAAACTGAAGTACCAGGGGAAATGACCTTCCTAGCAGCTGTGAGAGAGAGAGAGAGAGAGAGAGAGAGAGAGAGAGAGAGACACGACCTTTTCATTATTGTTTGTATACCTGCAATCCGATGTGAATTTTTTATGATTTTTCAGAATAAAGATCTATCCATCTATCCAAGTATCTATCCATCTATCTATTTATTTATCCAAGTATCTATCTATCTATCTTCAACAAGAGCGCATAGCTGTTAGTTTCCGCATCTACAGTACTTCAAGGCTTCTCCAGTAGTCTCATGAAGTGCTAACTACCCCCCCCCACCCCCCCTCATCCCCTGCAATAGTACATGTTGTTTATGACAGACACAGACAAAGACACACACACACACACACACACTTACCTGTCTCATTCACCTGTTAATAGTTCACACACACACACACACACACACACACACACACACACACACTCTACCTGCAATTAACATTTCTAATTTTTTTAAACTTTTCCCGCCTCTACTGACAACACACAGAGAGGAATGTTCCAATAATGTGTGTTACAAGCCCGCTCTTAATTAGCTTATTTACATTCTATTGTACAGTAATTGTACTAAATATGTAATTATATACCCAGAAGTTATTACAAAGACAGACAGACAGACAAACGGAGAAAAGTACCATTAATGTAAATATATCCCATCTTTAATGATCTTGTTTACATTCTATTGCACTGTAACTGTACTAAACGTTGTAATTATCTGTATTTTAAAGATACAGAGAAGCGTTTATCACCCGCACACACAGACAACAAAGAAATGTTCCCAGTAACATTCGTGGGTCAAATATTTCCGAGGGTATTGTCTACCTCTCTTAAAACAAAACACAAAAAAACACGATAACAAAAAAGAAGAGAGGAGACAAGAGAGAACCCTGAAGAACAAAGGGTTATGTTGAGAAGTGATAATAACATCTGGTGCAGGTGCCCGGGGCCGCCTCCTTCAGTAGCACCACCACCAATAAGAGATGGCGGGTGCGCTGAAGGACAAATTAGCATATATTAATTTTCCCGCCAACTGCATTACACCTCAGGGTAGAAATTCCTAACCAATAGCAGGTGGCGCCCCGGGCAGAGCATAATTCCTTGCCCCTTGTGCCCTGGATTGGGTGTAATACAGAGCTAACTCCCCTTGTGCCCTGGGATGAGCATAACTTACCCACTGTACCCCAGACTGAGCATAACACCTCCCCACTGTACCCCAGACTGAGCATTACACCTCCCCACTGTACCCCAGACTGAGCATAACACCTCCCCACTGTACCCCAGACTGAGCATAACACCTCCCCACTGTACCCCAGACTGAGCATTACACCCCCACTGTACCCCAGACTGAGCATTACACTCCCCCACTGTACCCCAGACAGCATAACACCTCCCACTGTACCCCAGACTGAGCATTACACTCCCCACTGTACCCCAGACTGAGCATAACACCTCCCACTGTACCCCAGACTGAGCATTACACCTCCCCACTGTACCCCAGACTGAGCATTACACCTCCCCACTGTACCCCAGACTGAGCATTACACCCCCCACTGTACCCCAGACTGAGCATTACACCTCCCCACTGTACCCCAGACTGAGCATAACACCTCCCCACTGTACCCCAGACATCATAACACCTCCCCACTGTACCCTAGACTGAGACAACACCTCCCCACTGTACCCCAGACTGAGCATTACACCTCCCACTGTACCCCAGACTGAGCATTACACCTCCCCACTGTACCCTAGACTGGTCATAACACCTCCCCACTGTACCCTAGACTGAGCATTACACCTCCCCACTGTACCCCAAACTGAGCATAACACCTCCCCACTGTACCCTAGACAGCATAACACCTCCCCACTGTACCCCAGGACTGAGCATAACACCTCCCCACTGTACCCCCAGACTGAGCATTACACCTCCCACTGTACCCCAGAGACTGAGCATTACACCTCCCCACTATACCCTAGACTGGTCATAACACTCCCCACTGTACCCCAGACTGAGCATAACACCTCCCCACTGTACCCCAGACTGAGCATAACACCTCCCCACTGTACCCCAGACTGAGCATAACACTCCCCACTGTACCTCAGACTGAGCACACCTCCCACTGTACCCCAGACTGAGCATAACACCTCCCCACTGTACCCCAGACTGAGCATAACACTCTCCACTGTACCTCAGACTGAGCATTACACCTCCACTGTACCCCAGACTGAGCACATAACACCTCCCCACTGTACCCAGACTGAGCATAACACCTCCCACTATACCCTCAGACTGAGCATAACACCTCCCCACTGTACCCTAGACTGAGCATTACACTCCCCACTGTACCCCAGACTGAGCATAACACCTCCCCACTGTACCCCAGACTGAGCATTACACCTCCCCACTATACCCTAGACTGGTCATAACACCTCCCCACTGTACCCCAGACTGAGCATTACACCTCCCCACTGTACCCTAGACTGGTCATAACACCTCACTGTACCCCAGACTGAGCATTACACCTCCCCACTGTACCCAGACTGAGCATTACACCTCCCACTGTACCCCAGACTGAGCATAACACCCCCCACTGTACCCTAGACTAATCATAACACCTCCCCACTGCATCCCCAGACTGAGCATAACACCTCCCCACTGTACCCTAGACTGAGCATAACACCTCCCCCACTGTACCCTAGACTGAGCATAACACCTCCCCCACTGTGCCCCTTCCCCGGGGGCGGAACGTCAGGTGCCCCGGGCCGAGCATTGTAGCCGCCAGACGAAGGGGTAGTTTAGTAATTAAGTTAATTTTGATAATGGGACGAAACAAAAGTAATTTGCAATTATTACAGACATCACAGATATATATCTACTAAACGGTTATAATCAGCGAGTAATTTATTGAGGGGGGGCCATGAGGGGGGGGCCATGAGGGGGAGGGAGGCCATGAGGGGAAGGGAGGCCATGAGGGAAGGAGGCCATGAGGGGAGGGAGGCCATGTTGCTACCAGCTGAAGGCTAATTATCTCCTCATTAAAACCCAATTAAGGGTAATTAGCGCAAAGTGGCCGACATCACTCTGTTAGGGCGCCTCGGTCACGACCCCCCTACCTAACC